ATATCTAAAAGAAGAACAAAATGAGAAAAACAAAGACATGACAAAGCCTGGTACATAAATTACTCATAATGTTATGTATCATTATTATTACTTCACTTGTCCAGCAAGAAATAGTCTGGGAATGGGACAACAGTTTCAAAACTGTTGGAATCTAGACCCCTGAATGCCGTTCATAGAACCCTATGCTCTGAAAACAAAACAAAACAAAACTGTGAATGTCTTATAAAGCAAAAAGGAGTTCTCGTTAACTCCTGAATCAAACATCACAGTAGTACACATTCAAGGCAATAACAAATTGTAGTTGCCACAGACAGACAAGTGAAAATCAAACATCAGACTAGCACAATGGCTTGGTAGCAGAGGCAACTGACAACCTGGGTTAAAACCCTGGAGCCCGTATGCCATGGCGCACACCTGCACACACAAAATAAATGTTTTTCCATTTAAAGAAAAAAACAAGTGTACTTTAATAGTTGCTCATTTTCTCTGGACTCATGTTTTTCTTTTTAGTTGACTAAAGCTTATGTTCCCTAGTATCACTTAAGTCAACCTATATTTTCATTTTTATTTTGAGATAAAATAAAAATATTTTATTCATATTTACATTTTTTTTAGATAGAGTCTGGCCCTATAAGCCAAGATGGACTAGAACTTTTAGTATGAAAAAGGATGTTCTTAAAAATCAAAATCCTCCTGCCTCAGCACATGTATTAAGATTATAGTATTTCTGGCAGAAATACAATATTCTTGTAAAAAAAAAAAAGTGCTCAATTAAGTGGTAAGTAATCCTAATATAAGATTTAGAAAAATGTATAACAGGCTGGGTGGTGAGGCACTCAGGAATCAGGGGCAGGCAGATCTCTCTAACCCTAACCCTAAATCTGATGCCAGTCTGGTCTACAGAGTGAGTTCCAGGACAGCCAAGGCTACACAGAGAAACCCTGTCTCAAAAAATAAAAAAACTTAAATGGAACTACTGGAACTGAAGAAATTAATTAAAAGCTATTCTTTATTAAAAGAAGCTAAATGATATTAGTCTAGTCATTCCCATTTAAAATGTTTGAAATAGTTTTTAACTTAAGCATAATATGTGCATTTTCATCAAAATATCACTAATACTATTTCACATAGTTTGAAATAAAAATTAACAGAACACACAATAATTTCACAGTAAGTAGGAATTTTAATACAGTATAATTATAGCCCAAGTTTAAATATAAGTCTTCACAAATACTTTCAAAACAAAAGGGTCTTTAGATGATCTCTCGGGCCTTTAATCTCTCAGTGTTGCAGTGTCAGTGACCCGTCTGAGTGTCTTGCACCCGATAATGGTCTGTGAGGTCTTTTCTATCTGATGACACACTCCCTGTCTGCTCATTTTGCCTTCGAATCTACTGTAGCATAAACTGTCAGTCACAGCCCACAAGCGGCTGACATTTGCTATGAGCAGAGACCACAAGCAGTTAATACTGCTATCTTCTAAAGCTGACTCTCAAGGGTACCACTCAGTTTTTTCTCCATTCTCCTTAGTAGTCTATGGTCATTTTGCCTTTTAAAAGGAAAACTGAGATTCAAATATGAGGTTTATGCTTATCATCTGAACATGGGTTTCCAACCACATCCTATTTGTTAAATTATGTTTTCTAGCTAAGTGTTGGTGGCTCACACCTGTAATCTCAGCACTGGTGAGGCAAATACCTGTGAGTTGAAGGACTGCTACTTTTAAAATAAAATCCCAAATGTTCAATTTTACCAATAAAGACTCAGGAGCCACATGCTGAGGTGTAAACCTGGTAGATCACGAGGCAGAGAGAGCACTCAGCAGAACTTCCCACTCAGCTGATGTGGGTCTTCCAGAAGGAAGACCTTCTCTGTGCTGTCTTTAAAACCCTCCAAACTGAATGTCCCTCCTTTCTACTTCCTGTGTCTATCTGTCCTCCAAACTTCCTCTCACTCTCTATGCTTTTTTCCCATGTTCACTGCCAGGAGCCAAAGCTATCTACGGGAGCCAAAGCCAAAGCTATCTAGTGAAGACTAAGCTATCTACTGAAGCCTAAGTCAATTAGTGAGTCAAAGCTATCTAGTGCAGACAAAAGGTGTTTGCTAGGCCAAAGCCAAATAGTGAGCAAAGGTCATTTAGTGGAGACCAAAAGCTATTTAGTGAAAGTTATCTAGGACCCTAACTCATGGGTGAGAGACTGTGAGGACATCCGTTTGTTACATCCCTATGATATCTTGCATATCATATGTTACATCCCTATGATATCTTGCATAACATCCCTATGGTATCTTGCAGGTACCCTATTTAACACATGAAAGCACTCTTCCTGTCTCCTGCAGCAGCTAATAACCTCCCCCCTTTTCCTGCCTTCTCCCTATATAAGTTGGGTAAAAATTTCTAATAAATGAAGCCTTGATCAGACAAACAGACTTGGCTTCCTTCCTTGTGCTTCTCGTTCCCTCCCATTCCTTCCACTCTCCTCCCTTAGGAACCCCCTTGAAGCCCACGCTGGTCAGGGCAGTTCACGTCCTGTCAACTGAAAACTTCTTCCGCCACTTGACCTAGGGTTAATTTTTTTTAATCCTATTTGCAGAAAGCTCTTGAATTAAGTGTGTGCTAGGGCTGTGCCATACCACAACCACCTGTTTCCAATAAACAGGAAGTTCTTGAATGAAAAGTGTGTGCTAGGGCTGAGCTACACCACAAGTGGAAACAGGTTTTCCCATTACACAATTTCAGGGTTCACAGTGTAACCAAATATCCTGCAACAGAGGCCAGCCTGTTTACAGAGCTAGTTCCAGCACAGCCAAGGCTACAGAAAGAAATGCTACTTTCTAAGATCATGTAAGAGCTTTTAAAGGTTTCAGATAGTCTTGGGCACTGAAGGTACTGTGTATTTTAAAACACTGGTTTTCTGAAAGATGTATTAATGTTATCTTTTTGAAAGAAGAACATTTTATTACAGAATCTAAAACTTATCATTTTAGGATAATGGAAGGCCTGTATAATGCTCAAATCTATATGGACATCAGCTAGCCTACAAGAAATCAACTGTAGTATGCACACACATTTTTTTTTTAAAACTATACATATTAGAGGGGCTGATAACAACTGGGGAGCCCTGGCTTGGGAGTTTCTGGCCCCAATTTTTCTAGCTGGCTTCCTAGCAGAATTGCCTGCAAGCACCTGTTTCCACACGTATTAAACTTCAGTTGGAACTGATGGGTGCTGAATTCATTCCAGTTGAGTTTATGTCTCAGAGATGCTTGCGTTTGTATACATCACTCACTAAGCTTTATATAGCACCTAAGATGCAGTCAAATATACTTTGTATACATAGTCATTACATATTGAACATTCCTCTGTACCAAACTCAGGGAAAAAAACTAGAGAATTTTTAAAATAATTTAAGCTGTTTTCAGTACAGCACAAATCCCTTAAATTTGGGCAGAAATACTAAACCCCCAATCCCTTTTTTTAAAACATGTTCTAACCGGGAACATATCGAATAGCTATTCATCTACGCTCAACCAAAGAACAAAGACCGCCCTTCTCCATCTGGGAAGGTTGTCTTCTTCAACCTGCTGTGACACCCTGCTTCGGGGAAAGACGCCAGTGGAGCAGTGAGGAAGGAGACATGGACCTAGCCAGCCTGATAAGCAGAATCAACCCTAGCGATGAATGGAGTAACAGTAACAGGCAGAACACCCTCGGGTCCTTAAATACTTTTATGACCATGTGTGCACTTGGCTTTGGTTTGGTTAGGGTTCCGTTTGTTGTTGCTGATTTGTCTTATAAGAAAAGGCCTCATGTTGTGTGCATCATCACGACGACTTTGTATATATCCTTTTAAATATGGAAGCTGGCACAGAATAGGACAGACATTTGAGGTGGCTTTAGCCAGTAAAGGAACTTTCTGCTACTCCTGACAGGAGTTCGATCCTACAGACCCGCATGGTGGAAGACGACTATTCGCCCGCCAGCATTCTTATTTTAAAGACAGATATAAAACCCACGTTGGGTTTCCAGCACTGAAGGCTGGCTAACAACGACAGTGTGGGCCAGCCACTTCTCCCATTTGACGAGTTCTGTTTGGTGTAGCCGTGCACCGCCCACAGGCCGGTGACAAGATCTCCAAGCGGGAAAATCGTCTATTTTGGCCACTGTCTCTCTTTATGAGCCTAAAACGCTGCCCGGCGTGGCTGGTGCTTCATCAACGGTGTGTGAAACACAACCCTCTACTGCAATCCAATGCTATACACAGGGGGCCTGTCCTTTAACGGGGCTCTCAGCCTTGACAGCTTCAACGTGTTTCCCAAAACGTCTATTAAAAAAAAAAAAAAAAACAAAAACAAAAAAACAAAAAACGAAGCTTTCCAGCACAATGAAACTGCGATCCCTTCCCGGCAGCTTCGACTCGCAAAAAAAGAAACCCCTGTAAGTGCGCCCTGGGGCTCTGCCTCCCAGCACAGCCCTCGGGTCGCCAGGAGGCACAGACTCCCGTCGGGTGGTCCCAGGGCCGCGCGGGGTCTACGGTAGCAACCGCCTGGCAAAAACCGCCGGGCTGTAAACCCCGCACTCAGGAGGCCGAGGCTAGCCCGGAAAACACGGAGAGACCCAGCTTCAAAAGTCAAGACAGGAGAGAAAAGTAAAATAAAAAGACCTGACTGACTCCCGTCCGGACGAGCGGAGAACACCACGGCGCGGTGAGACACTGCGCGCCCTCTGTCGGCCGCGGGCTGCTTCGCGGCGTGGACGGGATTCCGGCTCCGTGTCCGAGCTCGCGAGAGGAAGCCCGGAAGTGGCCGCAAAAGGCTCAGCGGAACGCAACGTCCGCAGCAGTGTTTCTACCCGGAAAGATTTTGAATTCTCCGGAACCGACTAGCTTTAGAAAAGGCACAGCGGGACTAGCTTTTCGGGGAGGGAGGAGTTAAGCGGAAGTTCGGGCTCCCACGCTTTGCGCAGAGCATCCTGGGAGCGGAAGGAAACGGGCCTTTCAGACGCGGATCCGGTATTCACAGACTAGTGTGGCGCGCAGCTTGGTGGTGTTGAGAGCCCACGCTTGCCGGATTCGGCGTTTCTGCGAGGAGGTCCGAAGTAGCAGAGATCGCGGCGTCGCCGGGGAACCCGGGACGGCTGGTGAGCCATGGTGAAGAGATCCCGGCGACGTGGAGCGGCCCAGTGGGCAGCCGTGCGGGCCGGGGCAGTTCGCACCGCCACGGACGAAAATGAGGACGATTTAGGGTTGCCGCCCTCTCCAGGGGACTCCAGCTACTACCAAGATCAGGTAGATGAGTTCCATGAAGCGCGATCTCGGGCAGCCCTTGCTAAGGGCTGGGACGAAGTCGAGAGTGGGGAGGAGGATGGAGATGAGGAGGAAGAGGTGCTAGCCCTAGATATTGATGATGAAAGCAATGAAGAGAGTTCGGAGGAGGAAGAGGCGGAAGATGGCGATGATGATGATGGCGGGAGCTCCGTGCAGAGTGAGGCTGAGGCCTCTATGGATCCTAGCTTGTCTTGGGGTCAGAGGAAAAGGCTTTATTATGATACGGACTATGGTTCCAAATCCCGAGGCCGTCAGAGTCAGCAAGAAGTAGAAGAGGAGGAAAGAGAGGAAGAGGAGGAGGCACAGTTAATTCAGCGACGCCTGGCCCAAGCCCTGCAAGAGGACGATTTCGGAGTTGCTTGGGTGGAGGCCTTCGCAAAACCGGTGCCCCAGGTGGATGAAGCTGAGACTCAGGTCGTGAAGGATTTGGCTAAAATCTCGGTAAAAGAGAAGCTGAAAATGCTGAAAAAAGAATCACCAGAGCTCTTAGAGCTGATTGAAGATCTCAAAGTTAAGTTGACAGAAGTGAAGGATGAATTAGAGCCGTTGTTACAGTTGGTGGAGAAAGGGGTCATTCCACCTGGAAAAGGAAGCCAATACCTGAAGACTAAATATAACCTCTACTTGAACTACTGCGCAAACATTAGTTTTTATTTGATATTAAAAGCCAGGAGAGCCCCTGCACATGGACACCCTGTTATAGAAAGGCTGGTTACCTACAGAAATCTGATCAACGATCTGTCCGTTGTGGATCAGAAACTGTCCTCCGAAATCCGTCACCTACTCACAGTCAAGGATGGTGCTGTAAAGAAAGGACTGACTCCAAAAGAAAAATTAACCAAAACCAAGGCAAAGTCTGTGAAACAGGCTGCTGCTACTGCTGATCCGTCTGAGGATCCTGATTTTGATGAAGCTGCACTCCAATACTATAAGGAAATGGAAGATGGGCAAAAGTTAAAAAGAAAGAAGGAAGAAAATAGTGCCGAGGAGCAGGCTCTCGAAGATCAAAATGCAAAGAGAGCCATTACCTACCAGATTGCTAAAAATAGGGGACTTACACCTAGAAGAAAGAAGATTGATAGAAATCCCAGAGTTAAACATAGGGAAAAGTTCAGAAGAGCCAAAATTCGAAGACGAGGCCAGGTTCGTGAAGTTCGTAGAGAAGAGCAGCGCTATAGTGGTGAACTATCTGGCATTCGTGCTGGAGTTAAAAAGAGCATTAAGCTTAAGTAAAGTTCCTCTTTGGCCTAGTTTTTTGCAATTACTTTAGATCAATAAAAGGGTTTTTAACTAAAGTGACTGTGTTTGTATGTAATACCCATTTTTATTTTAAGTTTAAAGTTTGTCAACAGGGAAATGGGGTTGTTGGTTTGGATTTGTTGGTCTTTTGTACTAGGAATGTGAGCCTGGAACCTGTACATAACTAGCAAAGCACTCTTACCAGTGAGCTCTGTCTCCAGCCCTGGGTTACTGCTTTTTTCTGCCCGTTAACATCTAAGAATTGTTGAGGGAAAATACCATGTTGGAGTATTCCAATATTTTAGCAAATTTTGGCCTAGAAAGATTTGGTTAAGTGTGACAAAAAGGAAAAGATGCCTTAATTACACCAACTGTATTTTTAATAATCTTTTTTATGGTAAATAAGGTAGAAATGCCCTATCCCTCTGCTGCTGATTCACTGTGGTTGCTGTTTGTGCTGATTCTCAGTTTGCTGAGGATTTAAGGTTACACTTACTCTATGCAGTTGTCTACAATCCTTAAGTAACAAAGGTGGAGTGGTTATCTTAATATGGATGAAGAGGCTGCAGTTCTTAAAGAGCTGATTCAGTGGGTTAGAGTCCTTGTTCTGCAAACATACAGACCTGAGTTTGAACCCCAATAGCAACAGAAACAAGGCTATTTGTACCTGTAACCTCAGTTTTGGGGATAAGAGACAGGTTGGTCCTATCATTCACTGGCTGGCATAGCCAAAAGCAAGCTTCCAGCTCAGTGAGGGACCCGTCAAGGCAGTGAGGCAGAGAATAGAGGGTATCCTGCTCAGGTCTCCACATGCATGCATTTCACTGCCCTGCTATCCACATTTTGGTATTTTGTGCATATTTGGGACAAAGAATTAACATTTTCAAAATCACAAAGCTCTTTAGCATCACAAGCAGGATTTCATCCCAGCCTTGCTAGCTTCAGAGCTTAACTCCTTTTCAGATAAAGTAGAAAAGCAGACATTTCCTGGATGAATTTTGTGTAAATTAATTTACTTTCATTTTCATCTCTCAGGAGAACCATGTCTAAGAGCAGACTATTAGACCACTTGAATTCCAAACCAAAATTTATTTTTTAGTAGTTGGACTTTAGACAAATAACTTGGTATCTCTGTGCCTCAGGTTTTTTGGGTTTTTTGTTGTTGTTTGTTTTGTTTGTTGGGGTGAGGGGTTTTTTTTGTTGTTGTTGTTGTTTGTTTAAAATAACAATGAGGCCTGAGGATGTAGTTCAGTATAGTGCCTAGAATGCAGGGAGGCCTTGAGTTCAGGCCTGCATGCTTCATAAGGTGGATATGGTGGAGCACGCATATAATCCCAACACTTGAGGTGGAACTATCAAGATTAGAAGTGGTTCAGGGATAGTCGGCAGCTCAACCAGCGTGCCTCAAAACAAAAAGACCATTGCCTAAGAGTAGTGCCTACTTTGGAGAGCTACTATGAGGATTAAGTGAACTAATACATGAAACTATTCAGAATATCTGTTACATAGGTGTCACCTAGTGAGTGTTGGGTTATCAGAAGTTAATAGCCTACATGGGGCCCTGTCTTCACAGAATGGTTCAAGGCTAGCTAGGCTGTATGTTTAAAATTTAATTATACATAGGTACATGGTCAAACACCATTAGGAGATTGGCCTCGGGTTAGATGAGTTTCTGTCCACTTTTACCACAGCATGTGTCTGGTCTGTTTCACCTTTTCCTCAAACATTGTCACAGCCATTTAAGTAACTTAAGTGACAGGTCATGGTTAGGTACTGTTTTGAGAGGTGGGACTTAAGAGAGGCTGTCCTTGAACTTGGTCTGTAGATGACACTATACCGACATCCCTGGCCCATGAAGTTTCTTCAACTAAAATGCCTAGTCTATTGGTAAATTTACAATGTGTGTTATTTAGCCAGCACTGTGAGCCCCAGGTGTTCTAGTTTTAACCTGCACTCCAGGAAATTCTGATTCAGGTAGGACACTGCAAAATCCTAGGCTGAGCACTCTGCATTAAGTTTCTGCCAGCTTATAACATTAGGCAGACGTTGAACTACAGGAATGAGGCAAGAAACTAAAACTGGATAGTCCTAGAGAATGTTCCAGAGACAATGGAGGCCTTTTCTGGTTTTGTTTAGTTTTTTCCTTTAGAACGACAGGATAGAAGTAATCACAGTTTTCACCTTGTCAGTAGTAGTTCAGTGTCATGGAACCAGAGGCCCCTGGAATTTGGTAAAACAAAACAAAAAACTAATTGAGGGAGGGGGCTGAGTGGTAGCTCAGTGGCAGAGTGCTTATCTAGAAGTGCAATCAACCAAGAACTCCAAGACAACCACCATAGAACATGAAGGGCTGGGCATGTCGGCACTTGGGAGGCTGGGGCAGGAGGATTGCCATTAGTTCAAGACCAGTACTAGTCATGAAGCCAGACCCTATATTGAAGGCCTAGGTGGTGATGCACTCCTTTAATCCCAGCGTTCAGGAGGCAGAGGAAGGTGAATCGGAGTTCATGGCCAGCCTGGTCTAAAGAGAATCCCAGGACAGCCAGGGCTACAAATAGAAACCATGACTCAAAAAACAAAATGAAAAGTTAGAAATACTATTGGAATGTACCTTTTATTCTGGGTTAATAGATAACTAAGGTAGTTTTGTGCTGTGGGTACATGAGGGGGTTACTCAAATAAAAAACAAATTATTTTGTACTGAGTAGATAGACCTTAACAATGGGAGTAAAAGCTGAATTATTCCTTAAATCTCAAGAATTTTAACATGTTTTAGAAGAAAGGAGTCTGAGAAAGAAAAGAAACTTTTTGTATATTACAAAATGGAAAAATAATAAAGATGTCAACTTTGGCAGCAAACATAATTATAATAAAAGTAATTGACTACTTATAAAAGATTCTGTTGGGCCTCAAAAGGTGGGAGGGAGCATAAAACCCCTCTAGGTTGGAATAGGAGAAAAGGTATGTATCTGTTGGGGTAAAATCCCGGGATTTAAATTCTTTTAAATTAAGTTGGGAGTAATAGGGATAGCAACCACAGAAATGCCAAGTATGTTAGGCCAAAAGCAAGAATAGGAAGCAAGGTGGGAGGTCATGGAGAGGTAAGGAGGGGTTCAGTCACACAAGTACACCCTTACTAGTTACGAAATTACTAGCTGCTTAAAGGGCTTAGGTTATATTCCTGATTGGAGAAGACAACCAAAGTCGCTGGGAAAGTATGCTGGCCCTGTGTAACAGAGGATTGAAGCCAGAGGCAGGGAAAACAGCTATATGAGTCCTTCACAATAATGCTGGCATGTAAAGATTTAAATTAAGGCACAGGACAAGTGAAACCATAGGGGAGAAATTCAGAAAAGAAAATGGAGAGCATGAGAATTAAGCAAGATAAAGTTACCAACCAAACATGCAGCCTCAGCAACAATAAGATGAGAGGTTGAGATAGGGCTGCCATGAATCCCAGGCCTGGGTACATAGTTCCAAGCCAGCTACCACAATCACCACCACCCCAAAAAGATACTAAATGCTATGCACAAAATACAGAAAGCTCATTTAGGGCAAAGCTCTGAATTCTACAGAATTCTGTTCTCCATAGAATACCCAAGGAAGACAGTTTTACTGCTAATAATTATCTTCATAAAGATATCAGCAGGGCAGTGGTGGCATGTGCCTTTAATCCTAGCACTGGGAAGGCAGAAGCAGGAGGATCTCTGAGTTCTGACTACCAGGACAGCCAGAGCTACACAGAGAAACCCTGTCTCAAAAATAACAAAAGAAGAAAGATATGACCATCAAAGTAACAATTCAACAAGCTTTATTTTTATTATAAAATTAATATTAACTGGTATGGGCACATTGATAATTCTAGCACTTGGAGACGGGGAAAGAAGGGTTGCCAGAAGTTTGAGGCCAGCCTGAACTAACCAGTGAGTTCCAGGGAGCCAGGGTTACATAGGCCGTTTCTCAAACAGTTTTAGCAAAAATCATTAAAAAGTAACATACCTTTTCAAAACTTTTAGACTGGCAATACAGAAAAGAAGAAAGCTATATCCATGTTTCTACCACCCAAATAAAACTAGCATTTATATTTAAGACAATATAATAAGCAACAGATAGCACAATTTTCTAATATTTTTATACTAAGTATTTTAGAAGAATAAAGTTAGTGGAAGCCATCAAAATCAGTAATTAAGAAGTAAAGAACTAGATATGTTATTTTCAGATATGGCCTCATATAACCCCGGACAGTTTCAAAGAAGCCTAGCTGGCCTTGAGCTAACCTTCCTTTGACTGCCTCCTGAGTGCTCGGATTACAGGCCTATACTGCCACACTCCAGTAAGGACTGGGTTCTCTAGAGCTTTCAAATTTGAGACATATTAACTGACACAAATTTCTGCATTAAAACAAGTTTAACATGAAGAATATATTGACGAGATTGCTTTCAAGTAAGACTTTATCAAATTACCACATAATGCCACACAGATAATTCAAGAAAATTATTATTTTAGAATCTCAATCTAGCAGGCTGTTGAAATTCACACCTTTAATCTCGGTATTCAAGAAACTGAGGCATGTGCAGCTCTGTGAGTTCCAGGCCAGCCTGGTCTACTTATCAAGTTCCAGGACAGGCAGGGCTGTCTATAATAGAGAGCCTGTCTTGAAAAATAAAGGAACAACAACAGCATGGGGAGATGTAAAATAATAATTTATATAGTTAATCCAAAAGTGTTACTAACTTGAGGATTTCAATTTGCTTCTTAAAATATCTCTTTGATTTTTAACATAAAAATAGAATAATTTATGTATTATGCTGAAAGATTATCAACTCTCCTCAAGTGCTGGCTTTTCTGACTGTCAGGATAAGAAGCTTATACTAAAAATACACTATCATCCATGGCATTAATCTCTAAAAGGTTTATATACTGTATTATATAGATCTATTCTGAAGATCACCAGAGTATTTGAAACTCAAACATGGATGACTAGAACTGCGGATAAAATCAAAAGGCACTTTTCTGCTTTATTTCACGAAAAAAAAACAAAAACAAAAACAAAAAACAGAGCTAGATTCTTAATTACAGTGACAGTAAGCAGTAAGTCTCAGAGGTCCTTGTCACCTTTTAAAGGTGCAGGGAGTTGTTCTGTACACTTTCCAGAAGGAACATGTTCAAGCTTGTTTTTATAATCTTGGCCTCTGTAATTGTGTGTAGCAGCTGAATCAGCCCATTACGTAGATCACTAACGCTAATGTAGAGCTATGATTATATTATTGATCAAAAACATAAAAGCATATGAAAACTGGGGACTTGGAGTACCATCCACCTTGAGACAAAAAGTCCATAAATAGCCTTGCCTATACACTTTAAAAGACTCATATTTCAGCTGATTCCTTGTATTCATTATGCTGTCATTTTAATTAGTGGTAGCAAAACATAAATAGAGTTGCTATTAAAAGCAGAGAAGCACAAAAACCAATTCAATACAAGACTCCGCAGCATGTCACTGTTTTTCAGGTTAACAACAAAAAAAGCTGGCATTTAAACTAGACGGCATTTCTTGTTATAGACGGTTATAAACAATACACGTCTTTCACAGGGCTGTCACTTGCCTTCCCCTCACTTAGTAGATGATGCTGTATGGTATTTCATGCTTGATTTTTGTAGAGCAATTTTATTCAGAACATGTCTGTTCTGGCAAGAGATCACATCTAAAAACCTAGGTCTGTGTGATCTAGCAGGAATGGAGACACACTGAGCAGTGGTGTTTTTAAACCCATGAAACAGAGGCAAGTAGATCTGAGTTCAAGATCTGGTAATGAGCAAGTATCAGGTAAAGAAAAGCTTAGGTCCAGGTGTGGTGGCACACATCTTTAATCTCAAACAATGAAAGTAAAGTTAGTTTGTACAAGGAAGCAGCCATGTTTGAAAGTGAAGTCTAACTGAGTAGCAAAGATTTGACAGAGAGGATATGCCCAACTCTCACAAGGAGAGAGAGAAAAGGGAAGTTATTTAAGGGAGCTGCAGAGAATGAGAGAGAGCAAGGAGGCAGTTTTACTGGGAGAGTTTTACAGAGAAAGGTTGGAGAGAGAATGAGCCAGAGAATGAGAAGGAGACAGAAGATTAGAACAAATTGCTGGAGTTAGTTTGAGGTCAAGCAGAGCAATTCTGAGGCTGAGAGAAAAGCCAGCCGGGTTGAGTAAGTCAGCAGGGAGAGGAGTTTGAGCCAGAACAGTTAAGTTGAACCAGCTAGCCAGATTTCAGAAACAACTAGAAAGGATGAGCTTACTGAGCTTAATTAAGTCTCAGAGGCTGAAAACATTTTAGGCCTAGATTAGATTGTATTGAGGCTAGAAGCTTCCAGGACTAAGCTTAGGTTAGCAGACAAAGGCAGTAAGCCCCCAAGATGACAACTCAGGACAAGAAAAGTCACTTTAACAGAATTAGGTGACTCTCCTGGTTGGTTACTCGTCTTCTTAACTATAATTTGTGAAATTTCTGTTCTTCTACCTCGAGATTTGCATGTTTGTTTGTTTGCTTGCTTGCTTATGACAGGAGCTCCCTGTGCTGCTAAAGTTAGTCTCACGCCATCATGATCCTCCCACCTGCTAAAATGGCAGGTGTTTGCTGTCATCTGCCCCTGATATGCTACTGAAACATTGTAAAGCACCTTTGGGATGTGATCTGACTAAAATATGATTCTTAAAGAGTTTCTGCATGAAAAAAACAAGAAGCCCAGCTAAGGCACAGGCATTGGTTTTTCCTCTTTAATAGAATTTCCAATTTTTAGGAGGCAAATGTCTGTTTGTTTGTTTTTTTTTAAATCAAGAGTCTCACCTTCATCAAACGATTCAAATGGGTTATATTGGTGCATGTTTGTAATCGCAGTCCCTGGATCAAGAGCATTATTAGTTTGTGAGCAAACCTGTGCTCACACCACACACACACACACCCCTCAGCCTTCTTTTTAATTAAAAAACAAACAAAACAGCAATAACAACAACAAAAACTCAACAAGAGGCTGGAGAGATGGATCATCAGCTAAAAGTTCTTGGCACTCATGTTGGAAAGCTCACAACCGCCTCTGACCAGGGGATGGGATACTGTCTTGTGGCCTCCTGGGCACATAAATTACAAACACAGACACGGGCATGCATATAAATTAAGTAAATAAATAATACATATTTTTTTAAAACTCCAGATCATCTTGTGATGGAAAATCTCTTCCAACTCATCTTGCATTCGATTTTTCATAAAGTTATGTGTTGTCGCTAGGCTTGAGCCATCTGTGACCTGAGAACTCTGGAGGTAGGCAAATCTCTGTGAGTTCAAGCTCAGCCTGGTCTAAGTAGTGAATGACAGGTGAGACCTGTCTCAACACCAACAAAAAAGGAAAATAACATGCTGTTTTGTTAAAATAACATGCAGCTATTAACTTTTTCAAACTCTGTGTTACACTGTGTTGTAAAGGATTTCCTTAGACTTATTTAACCTTTACATCTCTATGAATAATTTTACAGAAGAGGGCAAATAACTTAGGCAGGACAAAGATGAACGGGTCAAGGAAATACCAGAAACTTAAAAGCTACTGGTTAATTCCCTAAGGGTGTTTAGAGTTAGCTCCTTGTAAACACTCCCTTTTGTAATGTTCCCTGTTATAAAAACTTGAACACTGGCATTAGAAGCCACATGATAATTTCTAGTGGTAACTCAAGAGCGATTTACGGAAAACAAAAATACTTTCTTTCTGAAAAGTTTAAGGGAAGGGTGTGGGGGGGGGGGGACTTAAAGGAGATGGTAGCAAGTGTACAAAATTTCGAGACTGATTTTTGATTGAGTTGGCGTTAGCATTTTGACACTCGAAGCTAATCAGGAGGCAATCCACAGAAAGAGGGACAGTGAGTCGAGCCTGTAAATCCCACCCTTTGGAAGCAGAGGCAGGAACGTCAAAGCGAGCCTAATTTGGGCTTCACGTGAGCCCACCCGCCCCTCGAATCAAAAACAAAACAAAACAAAACAACAACAAAAACTAGTAATTTTACTTTGGACACTTAAACTGAGTCAAATATTTGAAATAAAATAACAGTGCTTAACTTACTAACAAAACACAAGCACTACGAAGGGGGAAACCATCAACCTGTAATAGACCAGTGCCGTACACCACCCACGCTCACCGGGAGTCCTGGAAAAACCCGGGAACCTTGAGTTGAGAGCAAACACACGGGTTTCTAAATCGCCCTCACGAAATGGAACAAAACCCGGTGGGAAGAATGTCGTCTCCTCTAGTTATATCGTGTATCTAAACTTCCAGAATCAAAACCTTGAGGCAACGGTTGAAGGTCTAGTGGGTGAACAGCAAATTTAGAGTTTAATACCTAGAGCGGGTGGGGGGCGGAGGGGAAAGGGGTGTCTCTGCGCCTCTCGCTCGCCCCGGGAAGTTGGCGGTTACCCACGGAAAACGCCGCGCCTGACCTGCAGGGTCGAGCAAGCAGGGCGGCGGCGGCGGCGGCGGAGCAGGCCCCGCGCACCGTCGGCCCCGGGGTCCGGAGCGGTCCGCGAGCCGCCCCGAGCGGGAAGGCGCGGAGCGGCCGAGCGGGACGCTGCCCGCTAGGGGCGCCGAGCCGCGGCGGGGGGCGGCGAGAGGGGCGGAGGCCGGAGGCGGGGGCGGAC